TGTGTGTGTGTGTGTGTGTGTGTGTGTGTATTATCCCACTGTGATAGAACATGTGCTATGAAACATGCACCTGGGATCCTTTTACACAGAGCCAGCCATAGCAAAACTGAGGTTGGCAGATGTTCTCTCTGGTGCCTTCTCCATTCTCTTTTAGAAAAATCTCTCTTCCCAGAGGGTTGGTTCTTCTGAAATGCTTCAAAGTGTTAACCTCTCACCATCAAAATGTCCTTGCAAGAGGTCTCTAGACTCATTTGGAAGTTGATGGCCCACTTTCTACTAAGGGGACAGTTGTCTTTATCATCTACCCTGCCTGCTTCCTGCATAGTGGATCTATGCTCCCCTGAAGTGCTCATAAATCTTAAGATAGATAGAGGCCAGTAACATGTTTATGTTCTACATATACATTACCTTGCTTTTATGTATCATGTCATTTATAAGGTATTTAAAATCCTTCCACACGGGAATGAGTCTGGGGGAAGTCATCACCTTGATTATCCCCTGGTCCTCCTCAGGACCACTGTTTAAAAACCTGTAGGAATACAAAAGAGGCCAGCTTAGCCACTGATACTTTTTGAGGAGCTAGAAATCAGAAGGCAAGGTCCATGAACTCATGTTTATTGGACACTTTTTGAATGTCAGGAACTATGCATAAGATACCCTCTCATTTAATCCTCACTGCAGCCCAGTGAGGTAGGTATTACCTCATTTGAGAAAACTGAGGCTTGGAGAGGGTAAATAAAGGAGTTGGAAGTTGAATCTTAGCATTGGCTATCATCCAATAGGATATTATGGGGGAGGGAAGCAGAGAAATCTAAGAGGGGCTGGAAAGGAATACTGTCACAGGCAAATAATTGTTCCTTGCTGGTGATGGGCTGTCAAGGGATCTTTTTGCAAGAACTAGTAGTTCCCAAAGTGTGGACCCTGGACCTCCTGTACCGGGATTCCTGGGGGAGAGGTACATCTTAAAATGCAGATCCTTAGGTACTGAAGCAGAACCATGGTGGTGGGCCCCTGAGCGCTTCCCTTGTAACAAGCTCCCTAGGTGATTCTGTGGACCTTGAAGTCTGACTACTGAAACAGGAAATCGAGATAAAGGGTGCCCAGGACAAAGAGTCAGCTCCGTGTAGCCCAGCTGGAGAAAGGATCCAGCCATTGGGCCTTGCAGGCTTTCCCAGGCTTGTGGAATCAAGTAGCTCTCTTGAATGTGATACATCTGCTATTCATCCTCCTCCTCCCCATTCCCTTCTCTTTGGCCTTCATGAGGACAAACCTCTACTTTTCTTAGTTGGATGGTGAATAAATCCTACTTTTAACAAGTTCCCTCTGTCAGGGGGTCTGTCATTACTGATCTGACGATGCGCTTGTTTTCCTCATTTGTAAAATGAAAATGCCAGATCCTTGCAACTTCACAGGATTGTTGCAAGGATAGACTAAGATAATTCCTGTGAATACTTTTTAAAGTATACTCTAAAGCAACAAACAATTATGACTGCTGTTTTTAGGCTGGTTTGGTTCTCAGAGAAGTACTAGTTTTTTCCTTCCAACCTATACTTTGTACTTTTCAGTTGCTCTGGAAACATTACAGCTCAATTTAATAGTCTGGCCAGCAGAGGGCAGTGGAAGCCATCCTTGCGCCTGCCCGATGAAGGAAAACTGATGGACTTTCAGTTTAAAGTGGTCCCCAAACTGCGATCCTCAGGACAGCAGCATCAGCATCACCTGGGAACTTGTCAGAAATGCAAATTATCAGGCCCCACCCTAGACCTACTAAATCGGAAACTCCGAGAGTAGGGCCCCAAAATCTGAGTTTTAACAAGTTCTCCAGCTGGTCTTAAAGTCTGAGAAACACTGGTTTGGAGAGCTGTTGGAGTTCCAGATCATTTGGCCTGGGCCTCCTGAGGCAAGGTCAGCAGAACCCACCCTCTGGCACGGCTAAGACTAGGCCCTGTGTTGCCACAGAGACTTGATGGCTGGATCTGCAGGGGGAAGCAACAGGCAAAACTTATCATCATCTCATGTGTAGGGTGGTTTAGTGCCCACAAAAAAAAGCTTTCACAGGGACTTCCCTGGCGGTCCAGTGGTTAAGACTCTGCGCTTCCACTGTAGGAGGCGCGGGTTGGATCTGTGGTCAGGGAACTAAGATCCCGCATGCCTCACGGTGCGGCCAAAAAAAAAAAAAAAAAAAGCTTTCACATCAATCACTTCATTAGTTCTTGAAAGAATTCTGAGAGGCAGATACCACCGTCTCCATTGTACATATAAGGAATGTGAATTCAGAGAGGAAGAGGGATGTGTTCAAAGCTACACAGGGCAGCTTCAAGACTAAGATCCAACTCACAGTTCAAGATTCTTCTATCATTTGAGAGAAGTAAAAGGTTCTCCCAGCTAATGCTAAGTGAGCTCTCTTCCCCACAAACCCACTAATGGGAACTGGGGACTGGCTTTCAGACATTAGCATCCCCTATGTCTTTCCACTCTCCCCAAGGCTGCATGCTGCCCTCCTGCCATATCTTTTTCCATTCTATTCTCCTGTAACCCTGCACTTGCTGCTCTTTTGGACCACCTTTCAGGAGCCACTGTGATCAGCTGAAATGGATCGGTGGATGGCCCTACGGGCCAGGGCCCCACAGCTCAGATTTACCCAACCAGCTCCTTCTTGGGGGCCCAGAGCTGCTGAGAGAATAGTCATTTGTAGTCAACAAATTTGCAGTCATTGACATCAGTTTCCATTTTTCCTAATTATCTCCCCTGGGTCCAACTTCTCTTGACCAGCCTATAAAAAGCAAGCGGTTGGAACCCTTTGGGGGCATATTCTTTGGAGGTTAAGTGAGAAGGAAGGCCTTCAACCCCCATACCTATGTTTGTTGTTGTTGTTGCCACTCTCTCCCATCCCATATACCAGTTTCCTTAGAGGAAACCTCTCCTAAAATGCCCCACATTTGATTCCCTAATCCCCTTACCTGTCCTTAAAAGCAAGTCCAGAGAGAGCGCCAGATGCCTTAATCCCAATGGTCTTGACTTTTTAATATCTTGATAACCCAAAGATGATCTAAAGGGAGAATTCAAGTCCTGCAGCCAACTGAGAGGAGTCAGAATTTGGGGGCTGAGATATGGTATCTGACTGTAGCTGACTATAGAGACAAACCAGGTCTATGATTGGGCATTGATGCTGGTGCCACATCCTTTTTCTTAGTTGCAGTCCATTCCAAGGTACTGTGTCGGTGGTGGTGGGATGGAAAGCCAGCATCCCATGAGCCCTGCCTTTGTAATACAGAGAATTGGCTCTAGGGGGTACTGCACTCCGTGACACTATTGGGCCCCTGTTGAAGAAGGAAAAGAACAAAGTATTGTGAGTACATATAACAAGGAGACCTGACCACCCAAAAGAAGAGTGATGTGTGCTCCACACTTTGAGGTAAAGCCCAGCATGGATCCTACAGCCTTGCAGGTGGCTCTCACGTTTGGGGACAAGGATGCAGAAAGCCCAGCTGGCATCAGTTGACTGTAAAGTCAGAGGGACTGTAAAGCCCGAGGGCAATCTTGGCTTACTCTGTTTTTTTGAATTACTGTTAAGGAGCCCAAGTCTGTCCCCAGGCCTGGAACTGCTACTCTGGCCTTATAAGTGAGTTCACAGCTAGGGCTGGGACTGGAATGCACTTAACTTTACAGAAAGAAACAATTTTCCAGGACACACATATATTACCAGGGTGGGCTAGTTTCTATTGAGTGAAGAATTATCCAGCATGGGAGTAGTGATAGCATCCAGAACTGATTAAGGTTGTAAAGTGGTTGCCAGGCATTTTACATACATTGTTTCATTTAATTCTTATACAATGATTCTATGACTTAGCTATCATCCTCCATTAATGAAACAACTTTTAAAAATGGACATGGTAAAAATACTCAAAACATACCAAGGAACATATACTGAAGAGAAAGTCACCTGTCCTGTTCCCCTTCAGAAAGGTAACCCTGGTTGTGTCTTTCTTCAGGTGTTCTGTACACACACAAGCATGTATGTAAAAAATATTATTTTTCTTACACAAATGGTAGTATGCTATATACACGTTTCTCACTTAATAATCTTAAAGATTAACTCATATTAAAACATACAGCTCTGTCTCATTTTTCAACAGCTGTCAGCTGCAGTGTATTCCACTGCGTGGCTGAACTACCATTTATTTATTTAAACTTCTATTAATGGAAATTGGGCAGTTTCCAACCTTTTGCTATAACCCATGCCACAAATGAATATCTTTGTTAATGCCTCAGAGTTTTAATTAACTTAAATTTTAAAACTGAAGCAATGTAAATCTTTTATTCATTAAGCATAACTTATTTTAGGTATACTGGCTTAAATAAATTATTAAAATTAATTTCACCTGTTTCTTTTTAATGTAAATTTTAAAATTGCATATTTGGCTTGCATTATATTTCTATTAGATAGTACTGCTTTAAATTATCACCGTCTGGTGGTGGTGTGGATTTCACTCCTTGAGAGTAGGAACCCAATTTATCTTGATTTCTCCCGTGTCCTCATTATCACCCAACCTGGCATGAAGTAGGTGCTTAATACATTTTTGTTGAATGAATGAGCAAATGAATGACCCTCTGCCCTCTCTCAGGAAGAAGAAATATATGCTTCCCAGCTCAAGTCTTACTGAGCATCTTCTTGGAAGGAAGATGAGGTGCGAAGGGTATTGACTGGGTTTTCTTGACCAGAGAACCTTGCAATTCTAGCCAGTTCCCTCGGTAACCCCTAGTGGAGTAGGAGTGGCAACATTCATTTTTTGAAAAAAAGAGTCGGATCCTTGATTATGCCAGCAGGTGGACTAAATTTGAACAAAATTTTCCAGGCCGTAAGTACTCAACAAACACTGGTTACCCTAAGAATGTGCTATAAACGAATGAATGGTAGGTAACCGGGCCTCCAGGGCAACCCCCTGGGTGATGGTCATGAGACTCCCGTCGAAGGCAGAGTTCCGGAGCCGCCTACTGCGGGGAGAGGCGACCAGACACGAATCCCAACACATTCGGTCGTCCCAGCTCTCCGCGCCGGAGGGAAGAAGGGCGTGTCCGCCTCTTCAAGACCGGGGCCGCGCCTGTTACCTGCGACGACTGCATTCCCGACTAGGGAGGGCACGGCGTGTGTGGCGGCTCTCAGAAGCTACGTGAAGGATCAGACCTAGAATAGGAGGGCCTGACGAGCGACCTTGGGGATGCTGCGAGAAGACTCTGCCAACAGGACGGTTAGCTCCCCAGCCCCGCGCCCGGTGGACTGACCGAGGCGAGGGAAGTGAGCGCGCGTGCGCACTGGCGCGCGCCCGGCAGGAAAAAGCCCAGCGCGAGGCCGCGCGCGCGCGCGTTCGAAAGGAAAAAAAAAAAGTCCTCCCCGTGGGGGCCCGCGGCAATTTAGGCCGGAGTTGGCCGGCGAGCGCGCGTGCGCGAGCGCGCATAGACGCCCTTCTCCACGGCTCCCCTCGGTTGGGGGTCTAGCGCGCTGCTCCGCTATTCCCGCCTCTCCCGAGGCTCGCGCCCTCGGTGTAAGTATCTCGCGCGCGCTTTGCGGAGAGGGAGGAAGAGGGTCCACTGAAGGAAGGGAGGAGGCGGACAGGGCTTGGAAAAAGGGAAAAACCGCCCTCGCCGAGCGAGGAGCGCGGTCAACGGGCTGGAGTCTGCAGAAGACACGCCTCTATCCCTCACGCCCCTCGGGGCTGCGGAAGTACTCTGGGGACTCCAGAGGCACTGGGGCGACAGGTGGACTACAATTCCCAGAAGGCAGCGCGGCCCCGCGCCTACAGCTCCCGGCAGCACCTGGGCACCAGGCCTTTTTCAGCTTGCTGCCGCCTAGGGCGAAACTACAGTTCCCAGGAGGCGTCGCGCGAAGCGGCTTGGAAGTGGGCAGCCTGGAAGTCACTCGGGCCACAGGAGCTGGCGGCGTCTCCAGCAAGCGGCGCGGATCTGGATACCGTGGTCGTGGGGCCCGCTGCGCGGGCAGCTGGGACGCCCAGGTATGTGGCTCCGGGTGCAGGGTCGGCCTCGCGCAAGGGTGGTGGGGAATCGGTGTCCCCTCGGACCCCGAGGGTCAGCGCGGGCGGGCGACTGGGCGGACGGCCGGGTGTGGGGACCGGTTGTTGGGGGCGGCGGCGGCGGGACTCTAGCCCTCTGGACCTGGCCGGTCTCTTGCCCGCATGCTTCAACTTTCCAGACGAGCTACCTGGCGCTGTTGCCGAAGAGCGTGGCATGGGAGTCGGGTAGCAGTGAGTTCGGGTCCTGGCTCTGCCACTCTGGAGGTGCGATATAGGGAAACCGCGCCGAACCTCAGTTTCCCCTTTCAGTCTAACCGGGGAAGAATAGTGTCTGTCTTTTGTTGGGAATTCTGTTGAAATGTTGAGATCTGGTGAATAAAGCATTTGGCACATAGAAGGCACTTATTACGTGTTTGCATTATTGTTAGCTCCCGAGAAATGGTGTGAAGGTATTATCCACCGAATGTGGTAAGTTGAGGGTGAGCCGAGTCCATAGTTAGCCTTCAATGCAGGGTGACTGCTGTTAACTGAAATTATTTTGTTAAGAGCTTTGGTTTGGGAGGCAGAACCAAGTTCAACCATTAGGTTCTACCATTTACTAGCTGTGTGACCTTGAGCGACAGACTTCACTGCTCTGTGCCTTCGTTTCTCTGTCTATAAAATGGGATTTTAATAGCAGCCACCTCGTAGAGTCGTTTTGAGGATGCAGTGAGAATACCATTTGTGAAGTGCTTAGAGCAGCAGCTGGCACATAGTCAGCATTTAATAAATGGTACCATTTATTCAGCGTTTTCCCAGTTTCTCAGAGACCCCCCTGAGGGTGGGGCTCTGGCTGTAGTGTTGGTCTTCCAGTGGGCCAGACTCAAAACTGGTCTGGTTGACTTCTCCTGCAGCCTCAGGTTCCATCTATGTAAAATGGGGTAACAATATCAGCCTCAGAGGGTTGTAAGGATTTGCTGAGATTGTATTCCTAATCCAGAGCCATCTCTCACTAAGTAGCAGCTCTTATATATTATAATTGTTCTTCTTCAATGTTCTCCATCTGGCCCAGAGACTGCCTGACTATGGTGGGATGTGACATGACAGCTCTGAGCTACCCCACATGTTCCCTCCCAGCCTCAATGTCCCAGCTGTGAAATGGTAGTGATAGGACATTTGTGCTAGGGTTGTTTTGATGATCCTAGGAGACAATTCATATTTAGTGTTCAGCCCAGGGCCAGGTGCATAGTAAGCACTTAACAAACATGTCTTCTTTTTCTTGATAGGTCTTTGCTGCTTATGTTTGTATTTACAGGGCAGAGCAGGGACAAGGTTAATGTCTCCCCCCCCCCTCACCGCCCCAATTTTTATTCACCAGAGGTTAAATTGTGGAACATACTGCAGTATAAGGGCCTGAGAAGAAATGGTACTGACTTGCTCTCAGCAGCCCCCTGCTCAGCTCTCACACACTCCTCCCCGCAAGCCAACACATTCACTCTAGGGCTTTATGTACTGTACCACTGCTGCCAGCACTTGACTCTGTCTCAAAGCCCTGTTAGCACCCTCAGCTCCAGTTCCAGATGTGGAGCCTGTGCTCCTTGATGTCCTCTGGTGACTGTCCCCTTGGGTACCATGAACTCAAAATGTTCAACCTAAACTCCTTTTTCCTCTCAGACCCAGTAGTCACCATCTTGGCAAATGGGCCAAGCCAGAAACTTGGGAGTTGCTCTTCTCCCCCAGGCTTCCCGGGTCTAATTGATTGGCAAGAAGGATGGAGCTGTCTTATTTCATAGCAACCATTTCATTGGCCCTTCTTGATCTCCCATCTTGTGGGCACTGAAATTCTCCCTTGGCCACTGAATATGGACTTTTCCAACAACGTTGAGTTGTTTCTTTCAAGTCACCAAGGATTGATGTATGTGAAACATTGTATTCATAGGGTGCCGAGAAGGCACTATGGACTTGGCCAGATTGCAATGGCCACAAGTCGGGAGTAAAGCCCTGGCTTTCAGGGGGCCCATTTCTACAGTTTTAGCCTGGCAAAGCTCGGCTGAGTTGCTAAATTTCTTTCTGAAAAGTTACACCGTGTCAGCGGCTTAGAATATCCTCTGTGGGAAGGGCCATCCTGGGCATTTTGGGAGGTAGCATACATACCAGGGAAGAGGCTGGGCAGGGAAATTCATTAGCTCTCCGTTTAGGGTGAGTCTGTTGTCAGATCTTTCATTGTAATTTCACTTGGAGATGGGAACCGGTGGTCTCAAATTTGTGCTGACCACTAAATTTGCCTAAGTGCTTTTTTATTATTTAGTTATTTATTAAGTTAATTAATTAATCATTTATGGCCGCACCACAGGGCTTGCCAGGATCATAGTTCCCCAACCAGGGATCGAACCAGGGCCTGGGCAGTGAAAGCACCGAGTCCTAACCTGGACTGCCAGGGAATTCCCCCTAAGTGCTTTTTTAAATCTGAGGAAATAAAGCAATGGCTTAAAAAAATCTTGGTCTTAATTGTTAGTGACAACAGCATGTGGGTTTTTTAGCAGTCTGTGTGGAATGGTCAGAGTTGAACATGAGCCTGTTTTTCAGACATTGCAGTTGTTAGGCGGTAAATCAAAAATGGAATTTAGAACGTGCAGTGATTGGTGCCTTTTTTTCCCTGTAAAAGGTATTTTGCGGTTATATTTCAAACTTCGGTGTAAAAAAATGACACAGGTTATGATAACAGCTTAACCTTGTTATGTGTTTAATTCCCCAAATCTAAATTAAATGTCTGTATGTTTTAATAAAAGAATTGAACAGTCATTTCCTCTAAAGTAAAGGGTTTGTTTTTAGCTGTTAGAATCAGATGCTATTGGACCAGTTTGTGCATTTGTGCTTTCTTTAAGACTGACACTGCTGTTTCTTAGAACTGCTCTGGTCATGGCTTTAATTTGTGTGTGTGTGTGAATTGGTTGAATTTGGCTTTTCAAAAGTTATGCGGAGATATACATGCTCATAGTAACATGTCAATACAGAGATACGTAAGGAAGACGATAGGTGCCACCCTCCACTCCAAAATCCCATCCCCCGAAGACAACCATTTATTCAGACAGTGAGTATTTACTGAGTATCCAGTGTCAGGTTTTGGAGATGTCTGAGAGAACAAAGTAGATTCTCTGTCCTTGGAAATTCGGGTAGATGCTCTCACTTACCTCTTTCTATACTTATATGGATGTATGTATGCAAATATTGACTGTTTTCTTCCTTCTCCCTCACCACTCCCCAAAAAAGGAGGGATCAAGACACACATATTTGTAACTTGATTTTTTAAATATTTGATAGGGCCTATCTCTTCAAGTCATTACATATCTGAATCATTCTTTTTTTTTTTTAAATATTATTTATTTATTTGGCTGCACCGGGTCTTAGTTGCAGCATGCGGGATCTTTAGTTGCGGCGTGCGGAATCTTTTAGTTGAGACATGAGAACTCTTAGTTGCAGCATGTGGGATCTAGTTCCCCAACCAGGGATCGAACCCGGGCCCCCTACATTGGGAGTGTGGCGTCTAAGCCACTGGACCGCCAGGGAAGTCCCTGACTCATTCTTTTTAACAGCTAGACACGCATTCTTCAGTGTGGACAGACCATGCTCCACACCACCGTCTCCCTATTGCTGGACATTTAAGTTCTTTCTGGGATTTCTTTTACATTCACAAACACACATCCAGTAAGCATTCTGGTACATAGTCAGTGTAGTGTAGTGGCTAAAAGCATAAACTCTGGATAGTGAACAAGACAGACAAGATCCTTGCTCTCCTAGGGTTTACATTCTAGCTGAGGGGACACACAATAAACAAGGAAACTTCCGGTGGTTTTAATTTCAGATGGAGGAAATAACAGGGTCGGGGGTATGGAGAGAGGGGTTGGGGCAGACTGGCGGTGGGGAAGGGATTTTTTTTTTTAATGAAGTATGCTTTCCTCTTCAAATTTTTTTAATGTTTATATTTTATTTACTTATTTTTATGGCTGCATCCGGTCTTCGTTGCAGCACGCGGGCTCTTCGTTGCGGCACACAGACTCCCTAGTTGAGGCACGTGAGCTCAGTAGTTGCAGTGCGCGGGCTTAGTTGCCCCACAGCATGTGGGATCTTAGTTCCCCGACCAGGGATCGAACCCGAGACCCCTGCATTGGAAGGCAGATCCTTTACCACTGGACCACCAGGGAAGTCCC